TAGGTGGTCTATTTTTCTGTCTGCATATGATTTTTCCTTACTCCACAAGCCTGGGAAAGAAATGGGCCATGCTGATGGCCTCAGTAGATTGCCCCTGCCAGTAGTAGAAGCTGACCCTGCGCCAGCTGTCAACATTCTATCCATCCAAGCCTTGCCCGAGTCCCCTCTGAATGCCAGGGATGTTGCCGCTGAAACAGGCACGGATCACACACTTTCACGTGTCCTTTCTTGGGTTTTGTCTGGATGGCCTGAGCACTGCCCTAGTCCTGAGTTTCAGAGTTTCTGGTCCAAAAGGAATGAGCTGTCCCTTTCTCAGGGTTGTCTGCTTTGGGGAAACAGAGTTGTCATTCCCACCTCAATGAGGACTAGGGTTTTAGAGTCCCTCCACGAGGGTCATCCTGGCATTGTTCGCATGAAGGCCCTTGCGCGTAGCCACTTGTGGTGGCCTGGTTTAGATAAGGACATTGAGGCTAAGGTGCATGCATGCCACCTGTGCCAGCGCTCTCGCCCAGAGATGCCCCAAGCTCCTGTGCATAGATGGGAGGATACACAGTCCCCATGGTCTACGGTGCACATTGACTACGCTGGGCCCTTTCAGGGCCAGTTCTTCTTGGTCCTCGTTGACAGTCATTCAAAATGGCTTGAGGTTGTACCTGTCTCATCCACCACCACTGCAAAGACTATTCAGGTACTGAGGGGGATTTTTGCTGCACACGGGCTCCCAGATGTCATCGTGTCTGACAACAGCCCTCAATTTACTTCCTCCGAATTCCAAGCTTTCTTACAGGCTAACATGAGTCGTCATGCCACGTCTGCACCCTTCCACCCGTCCACCAACGGTATGGCTGAACGCATGGTCCGCATCACAAAGGACGCCTTGAAAAGACTCACTATGGGGACTGGCATCACAGGTTGGCTGACTTTCTCCTTTCTTACCGCACCACACCGTCCACTTCTACAGGGAGAAGCCCAGCTGAACTTCGCTGGGGGCGCAAACTTACTACGAAGCTTGACCGGTTGCATCCGGACAGACTGCCTTCATCTACCTCACATCCTAGGGCACCTAGACAACTACTTGTGGGTGCCCCGGTTTGGACTCGCAATTACGGGCCTGGTCATACATGGGTCCCCGCTTCTATTTCCAGGGTCACATGTCCTCTATCCTACGAGGTAGCCCTGGACAACGGTTGTGTCCTGCATCGGCACATCGACCAACTCTGCCCTAGGCGGGATCTTTCAGATGAGACTCCTGGGTCTTTTCCAGGGAGGGAGGGGGACCCTTTAGAGCAAAGGGAGGGGCACGAGCTGCTGCCCACCTCCAATGATGGAGCCACAAACGGCCCATTCCAAGATTCCGCGAGTGCCCCAAACAGGAATTCTAAGAGCCTATCCAACTACCAGGCATTCACGCCTACTCCAGCCAGGGAGTCACCCCGGGGGTACAATCACTATTCACCTGCACAGCACAGTACTCCAGTCAGGGAGGATACCCGGGAGCATCCCAATAAATCATACCCCGCAAGAGAGCTGGCACATAATCCCCAGAGTTGGCCTGACCTTACCCCAAGTCCTACAGGGGGTCAAACATACAGGGAGGTGGTCGAGGAACCAAGTCCCGACCGCAACACCTCTAGCCCAAATCAGGGAGTAACTGAGTTTTGGGAAGGTACAGAAACCCACACGAGCCTGGACATAGAACGGGGTTTAGGGAATGGACAGCCTCCTGACAGGTCTTGGACGGACCTAGGAGGTTATACAGAGACGCCCAGCAGTGGCTATCACTTCAAGGGGCCCGAGGACCTACAGCTAGGCAGGTCAACCAGGTCACAAAGTGACAGAAGCCCTGGCCTGACGAGCCCGGTGGGCGAGCAAGCAGGCCAGGCATTGGGGCACAGTCCTTGGAAGGCACCAAGGCAACATAAGGAGAACAGGTTCACGTCTCCCTTCAGTCAGGGTACACCTGTCAGAAACCCAGAGCTGAGAAGGTCACAGAGAGCAAGGAAATCTCCTAAGTACTTAGAGGATTACATAACATTGCTGGCTAAACAAAAGCCAGTAAACAGTAGGAGCACTGGGGAGTAGAACACTGCATCAAGAAATAATTGTATGTTGGTAGTAGTCTTAGCCCGGGGGAAAGGGGTGTTATGTCCCAAGCCTTGCAAAAGGGCTCGGGGCGTTTGCAGGCAGTCCCGGGCAGGTGCAAGCTGCCCGGGACCAGACAGGCTGTCGCCAGCGCCTGTGCGCATGCGCGGGTGCTGGCGCGGGAAAAGTAACACATTGACCCGGGAATTGCCTATATAAGAGGCTGGGAGCTTTTGGGCGTTGCTGAAGCCTTCACCTGTAAGCTGAACACAGAATAAAAGAAAACCTGAGAACTACAACTGCTTCTCGTGTCTGCTTTTCGCCAAGGACTCAACAGTATATAAATCTAAGTGCTATTGCCATTGTTACTGAAGTAGTAATCAATGCTTCTCTCAGCAAAAGGATATCTCCTTCCACTGTAAAGTAGCTTGTAATGTGCTCCTGCTTAAGAAGCCTTCTCTCATTCTATTTTACACAATTTTACCTGGCTATACTTTTGGATGACGTATGGAGAAACTGGATCAAGAAAGCACAATCCTTCTGGTTCTTCTTGATCTCTCAGCAGTTTTTGATACCATTGACCATGGTTGTCTTCTCCAAGGGACTGGAGTGGGGGAACACTGTTCCATCTGCCTAGACATCTCCACTCAATGAAGTGCCTCAGGGAGCTTTTTTCTCTCTATTCTTTCCAATTTCAAGATAAGGTACCTGTCAGCCTGGAGTTCAATATAATCATTATGCTGATGATATCCTGTTATACATTGTTCCCAAGCTGAGCAAGTGATTGATGGTGGAAGTGCAATCCAATGCTTAGCGGCTGTCAGGGTTTGGACTGAGAGGAATAGACTCTGACTGGACTTCAAAATCAAGTGGCTTTGGGTTTGTGAACCTAACCATTTCAGGGAAATTTCATCTTTGTGTCTGAACAGAATTGTACTCCCTTGCTCCAAGCTAGCTCACAATTTGCAGGCTCTCTAGACTCACAGTTATGCTTTGCTGAGCAGGTGACAACTGTGGCTAGAATGGCTTTTGCTCAAGTATAGCTAGAGTGGCAACCCTTGATGACAGTCATTCATACATTCATAACATCCTCTCTTCAAGGCTGCCCCTGAAGGTTATTTACAAGCTTTAGTTGATATAAAATATTGCAGGGCAGGTAACAATATTTGTGAGCCAATATGATTCTGTAGTTAGAGAAATTGTTAAGTGTCTATGTGAACTAATTGTTACTGCTCGAAGGTATAGGCTCTTTGCTCACTGAGGACAATTATAAATCAACTGAGTAAAGAACATCCTTACAAAACCTGCACACTTATGGATTCTGACTGTGGCCTGTGATCACTTACTGCTCCCAAGCAACGTGCTAGAGATTTGGAATCAGTTGCATGAATTTGCATAGAACACTTCTCCTGTCAGAGGTGATATAGTAGATTACCTATTGAACAGGATCACTGATAATTATCATAATTATCACAAAAGTATATAGATATCCAAGTCCAAACTCTTGTGCCACATTTGAAGAGGGAATGTCCATCTTACAACTTTCTCAATTATCAGGTCAATAACTATAGGGCCTTGGATGGGGACTGATGTGGGACCATCAAGTATTTGTTTATGATTAGGACATATCAGTTAACCATTGGTGGGATTCAAATATGTGAACAACCAGTTCTCTGTATGGATGCCGGTTCTGGGGCAACAAAAAATTAACTACCAGTTCTGCCAAACTGGTGCAAACTGACTGAATCCCACCACTGTAGCTAACTCACCTACCCATTGAGTTAGCTGATATGTTCTAATACATCCATTGGGATTGACACTTGGTTCTTATACTGGAGCAAGGCGCTGGTGACTTAATCTACAGTCAGTGGCATTGCAAGAGAGCCTGTATCATTCTCTAGGCAAAGCCTCTCTTCCCATAATTTTGGAAAGAGTAAATGGGCAAATTTAGCAGTCACAGGCCATTGAACTTTACACACACAGAACTGTAAATCTTGGTTCTTCCAGTATTTCATCCTTAGACATTGGTTTTCCAGGCAGAACACAATTTTTGTCTGTCTGTCTGTCTGCCGCCTTTATTATTGTTGACAGGAGTCAAGCCATATACACAGAAATACATTATACGCCAAAGTTTATGTTCTCCTGCCTTTCCTAGTTCATGGAAATTGGCTTTATTTTGATGGTCTTAAAAGGCATCTGATCTTTATTGAGCAAATAGCACTCTTTAAGGTGAAATTTCCTGGTTCTTGTGTTACTACTCTTATTTCTTACAGCAGATATGGACATTTGCTTCTGAAAAATCCTTCCTTTTACTGTTAATATTTGGAATCTCACTCATAGTGAGTAATTTAGTTAATATTTAGTAGCATTTCCCTGGGAATAAAGGTATCTGTAAATGCCCCCAGTACATCAGTCAAAAAACCAAGGATATTTGTTATTTTTCTCATTATTTCCTACCTTCAATATTGGGAGAGTAACAGAAAGGACAGTTTGTGGCACTCATAGGCAACCAGTGAAAGAAATGGAAATTAAATGGCAATAGAAATAAGAGGATCAGAATAAGCTCTGATTCATATCAAAATTGAATCATATCACATTTAATCCAATATGTTTTCAATACAGAAGCCCGCAAGAGCACAAATGTAATTTCCCTTCCCCTATCTTTTTTTTTTCTTATTATTGGCTAGAAAAAATAATTTCAAAACAATTATATGCCTTCAGTTTCCAATTTGAAAGCATATCTTCACTTAATTGACAAAAGTAGATATTTATGAGTTAATATTGTAGTTTTCATCCCTACAAATTTAACATGCTACTTGTAAGCCAGGTCGGTAAGATTTACTCTTGATAAATGAGATATAGAGTAGTTCACTTCAATTAATCAATCAAACAATCAATCAACTGTTGGAATGTCTCACCTGCCACAAAATCCCCAAAGCCAACTGTGGTCAGAGTGACGACGACAAAATAGAAAGAGTCCAGGGCTGACCATTCTTCAATATATTTGAAACTGACAGCTGGAATGGTGACAAAAACAATGCATCCGGCCAGGATGAAAAGAATGGTAGAGATCACTCGAATCTTTGTCTGACTCACTTGTTTCTTCTGCAAAAAGAAAATGATCATCATTTGTTGGTTGCAGTGCACTGGTTTCAGAAACTGACACAAAATAAATTGCTGCCTGGCAATATCATATTAAAAACCATCCATTCGTTATGAATTGCAAATGGACTGTAAACATGAAAAATATGCAATACAAGTTTTAATCTCACAACTGCGTATATCAAATCACAGTATATCCCCCACTGTCAAGCTTCCTACTAGTAAAGTTCGTAATACTCCTGGAGAAGAATGAGTGGCTACCAACACCGAACTTTACAGAAGCATGACAGCTGCTCTTTAAGTAGGAATAGAAGCAGAAGTAGAAAAAGAATAATGGAAATGGAAGTATATTTTGGGTGCATGGGTACTTGAATCAAATGTTTAGTCATTCATGATTTCATGCTTCAAAAGAGAATGAATGTTCATATAGTATGCACGCATCATTTACTCTGCATCGCAAAAATATGCACTTTAGATCCCAAAAAGGGTAGCACAATTCACCTGAACGGGACCTACAGAAAAAAATATACTCTGGCTCATCAAGAGACATGGGGACAATATGCTTTTGTTTACTGAAATGTTTTACATCATATAAGGGGCCAGTATCCCCCATAGTACATGAACAGAAACCCAATTTCTACACTATGGCATAATGACATATCTGCATCTCTGTTAAAGGTTTCATAGTTTGCAAAGTTTTACAAAGCTGTTTCAAATGGGAACTTCACATCTACCTTCATCAAAGCAAACCATACTTTTGAAATCTATATCAAATGAACAGCCAATAGGGCTTCCTGTTTCAGCAGGGCGTTGGAGTAGAAGACCTCCAAGGTCCCTTCCAGCTCTATTCTGATTCACTGATTCACATCAAGGAGAGGCTTGGGCTCATTCCTAAAGGCACAATACCACAGCCATCCTATAGCTCCATTTTCAATTGCAGGTTGACAATTTTATTATTCAGCCTGATTCAAGACCAAGAGAGTTGAACACCCTGCCCTTGAATGATTAAAATAATATAATTATCCTCAACAGTATAGAAGTTTATCCTCAACAATATAAAAGTTAGTCATCAATATATTAGGATAAAATTAAACGAATTTTTTTCTTGCCTGGTGTAGGATTCTCTCTTCCTTTCTGGGCATGCTATACTTCCAAATATAGCCAGACTGGTTTCAGATAAAGTTCAGTTGCATTGGGGTAGAGCAACTTTAAAATTAGCTTTTCCTAACTTGAAGTATTCTAGATATGTTGGAAGTCCAACTCCCACTATTCACAATCAGCTGTTGCCATGCTGGCTGAGAACTCTAGTGATCCAAAATATTTGGACAATATTGGCTTAGAGAAGGCTGTTACAGAACATTGATGAAATGAAATGTCATATTATATTGTTGTTCCCTTCCTGCCTCCTTTCACAAATACAGATATAGAAACATACATAGAGAAGATGAATATGAAATATTCAACTGAGAAGATCCGCACAAGTAAAGCAGGATCCAATCTGGCTCGGTCACCAGGACCAGAAGTTTAGTCTTCCGAGCTTTCAAACTCATGCTGGAGCTCATCTTCAGGGAACTTCTCTCTACCAGAGTGAACAGTTCCAGAACATTCTGATAGAGAGAGATTCCCTGAGGATGGGCTCCAACACAAGTCTAAAAGCTCAGAAGACTAAACCACTGGTCCCAGTGACCAACCCAGATTGGATCCTGCAACATTATCCTGGGAAATGTATATTTGCCTTCATTCGTAAGTGAAAAATGTTTTCAGAACTGGGATTTCCCTCTAGATCGAACAAGAAATATTAAAATATTGTGAGATATGGTCAATTTAGTTAGCAGCTGGAAGGGAGAGAATCAACCAGGTACCTCCACATCCATTCTTGTTCTGGTATAATTTACTTTGAATACAACTTTCAGATTTGAACAGTTTCCTTAGACTGCTATTTCTCAACCTTGACAAGTTGAAGATGTATGGACTCCAATTCCACACTGGTTGCTGGGGAATTCTGGGAGTTGAAGTCCACACATTTTCAGCTTCCAAGGCTGAGAAACACTACTTAGACAATACAGTTTAGGGAAAACTAGAGCTTGTGTAATAATAAAACGTTTTTTGATTGATTCCCTTTTTTCCTGCTTTTTCCTCTCGTAAACACTTGACTGTTCAGACAAAACAGCAGATGAAATAAATATTTTTTTCAGGGATCATATAATTTCAGACTGCAGGTAAAGTGAAGGTAAACTGCAGTCATTACTGAAGACTATTTCAGATAAAATCTTCCTGTGCAAAGAAAATAAGCATTCAAAGAGAACAATATTAAACTAGTTTTTAACCTTAGAATTTGGAGGATATCAAAACAAAGAAAAATCCAGAGGTTATCCCTTCCTGATCTAAATCTCAATTTCTTTTGTAGAATTATCAAACAATATCAAACAGAAGATACGAATTCAGTTAATTGCCAAGACAATATTCCCTTGAGATTCAAGAAATATGCCAAAGAAAGAAGTAGGAAGTGACAAAATAGCTTTTTAACAGCATGTATACATTACATTTAATTTAAGGTTACTTGGCAGCCTGAAAACTCTTGGACTAGTCAGAGATACTTGGAAGGAATGCCCTCTGGCAAAACACAGAGCTACTAATGTTCTGTTGGAACTCACACATTCATTAATTTTTTTTCCCCTGAAAGTTCCTCAATCCTATCTAGCTATGAATTCAGTAACTTTTATAACAATGGTTTTCCTAAATTGTGAAGATATGAGCTGTGGTGGCTCAGTGGTTACAATGCAGCACTGCAGGCTATTTCGCCTGACTATAGGCTGCCTGTAGTTTGGTGGTTCGATTCTCATCAGCTCAAGGTTGGCTCAGCCTTCCATCCTTCTGAGGTTGGTAAAATGAGGACCCAGATTGTAAACTGCTTAGCGAGGGCTGTAAAGCACTGTGAAGCAGTATATAAGTCTAAGTGCTATTGTTATTGTTACCAGTATATATCTTGGGGGGGGGGGGGAATAAATGGCTCAATCTTACCCGAAAGACCTTTTCAACTCTTGCAATGCCCTTCCCAAAAATGGTTCCAAGCTGGTCACCTATGCCAGCTAGCAGAAAGCCAAAAAGTGGGATTCCAAAGATGGCATACAAAATACAGAAAATTTTTCCACCTTCTGTGCTTGGGGCAATATTTCCATAACCTGTTGAGAAAAAATAAGTTGGTTGTGAACTTTTTCTTCTGAAGATTGTGAGGAGGAGAAAGGAATGGAGCTAAACAGGGATGGATACACTCAAATCAATTCTTTTGCACTTGCCAAAGACCCACAGCTTCTCAAAGCAGAGTAAGAATGCTGGAACTTGCATATGCCGGTCATTCCCTTTTCTGAAGACTCCTGTGTCCCTCCCTTTGAACTCACTGCCATAATTTGGCAGCAAATTGCCTAAAATGATGTACAATGTATTCATGACTTCTAATAGAAATCCAAATGAATAAAACATGCTAGGTTTCTGATGAACCTCAGTATAGCCTATATAATTTACCTAAAAGTGATGCCAACTTTTAGCTGAGGAATTTTGAGAGTTCAGATACACATATCTTAAAGATGCCAAGTTTGAAAAACACTGCTATAACCAACATGTGCCATTAAAAAAAAACAGAAAAATGTTATTTTATAATGCATTGCTGTCTATTTCTGTGTGACTTCATAATACATTGCTGTGTGACTTCATAATACATTTCTAGCACTTATATGACTTCATAAGGCACTGCTCAGGCCATCTTTTTTTTTTTAAGTAAAACCTCAACTATCTGAAATTAACTTAATCCTATCTTAGGACACAGTATCATGGAAATTCAAGCATCAGCTTGCCATGTGATATTAAAAGCCAAGATCAAACATGGGATGAGGACTGTATATTAACAGCTTCATATTCTCCTCTTATTCAGCCCAGGAATTTGACTATTAGAATTGTAAGTCAGCATGCTTTATTTAATTTGTTTTGCCAACAATTTAAGTGTAATATATTGTGAGCAAGATATTAATCCTTGCACTTGCTTTTATTTCATTTTTGCATATTTTCAGATTATCTTTACTGAGATGCTTTTAAACACATTTAAGATGCACAACATAGTTATACGCTCCAGAAGACAAAATGAAGGAAAAACAGAATTAGAGACTGTGTCCCTGCTGACAAAATAAAGCAGATAGGGATTTGTGTTTCTGAAATACAGATACCAATGTCTATATGGCAACATTTTTAGCACTTCATAATGATATACTTACAATGATGGATTCATAAATTTTTAATATCACTTGGAACTTCAACAGAAGATAGAACTTAGCTTGCCATAAAGTAATAGTAATGACTGGTAGCTTTTTAAAAATTCATATTCAATAAACAAAACTAAAGCAAAACGTTCACAGCAAACTCTAGGCTAAACAGGTGGTACAAGTAGAACTGTTAAATATGAAACACTACATAGTTTTAGATTCAAGATTTGGATTTAATGTTTGGTTGCATTCTTTAGAAAGTATAAACTGTATTCAATATTTTATAACTTAAAATATGTACTGCAATCTGTAAAGAATCCCCTAGCCAGCTATTATTAAAGATTGGTTGCCTGCGTTTGGTTTAGGAATATAAACACTTAACATGCAAATGATGTGATAATATCTAGAAATGATTTTGCAGTTATAACATCCATCTCTCATTATTCTCTAGTAGCATTTTTTTTAAAAAAAAAATTAAGAGTAATCCCACGGATCGATGCCAGTTAACAAGGTTTTAATTCAACTGGTGAGGAACACAAAAGAAAGCTACTATTGAATGAGATGTCTAAACAGCACCACACAACAGCAGCCCTTGTGTATCTCAAATGAACAATAGTTTGATTCTAGTTTCAGAACAATTATCCTGCTAATCTTAGATAGTGGGACTGAATTAAAGAGCCATTTCACCAAAAAAATACCAGCATTTTTTTTTCAGTTTGATAAACAGAGAAAACAGAAGTCAGCTTTGGCTTCGTAAAAGATGCTGCTCTCTATTATTTTCAAAGGTAAGCAATATGGACTGTGTGTGCGCATTAAGTGTGCACTTATCACAAAACAGAATGAAGGCTTGCAGTCCTCTGCTGATTGTTCTGCAGCTGACGGTCAAATAAACCTACTTTAAACCTTTTTTTTTCATTGTCAACAAAGTCACTCTCATTATTCTTTCAAGACAAAGGGAATCTCCTTTCTTTGCTTTCTTCTGGCTACTTGATACATCTGTTGGAATATTCTATAGTTTTATTTCCGATTAATTCATTTTATTTGGGGTGGTGCCTTTTATTTATTGATTTAAACTCCGTGGTTTGGGTCCACACTTCAGACCTCCTCTTAAAGTAATAGTTGATAGGCTATATAAAACCCATTTTCCCCATATGGTCATACCAGGACAAGATCATTCAGAAATATAAATTAATATAAATGCATAAATAGATACCTATAGTAGTAATGACAGTTCCTGCAAAGAAAAAGGCACTTCCAAGGTCCCAGTGGCTGCTGCTATTAGAAGAATCTCCAACAGGGTTGACTCCTGCACTGGTAGCATTCATAACCCGCTACAAAAAAAAATTAAAAGCAAATTGAGAGCAGAATATATTGTAGCTGAACAAAATATCTTGTCTTCCAAATGAAAGATTGATGGAACCTGCTGCCAGTGCTTTTCTCTAAAGTTCCAGGCAATTAAAAAAAATTACCTATTGTCTACTACTTGACCTCTCTGATACCAAATGCCTCTCAATTTCTACATGCAAAGCTGTATTCCTCTATCAGTAAGTTTAAGCTTCTCCCAGAGTCCATTGGAGTTGTGCAGCTGTAACACTTTTAAGTATAAAATAAAATCAATTCCTTCAAATACCGTGGGTACCCAGCAGTACACTGATTTATGTTGATACATCTCAAAAAAATGCAAGATGCTGCATTTTACAAGATACAGAAGCCAAAGAAAAGAACTTACCCATTTAAGATGCATATTATCCTGTATATCTTGTTAGTCAATCTTCCTATTCAAACCTTCTCTAATATGGTGACCTTCACCAATGTTAAGATTATAAAATTATAAACACTAGTATTCCCAGCTGGCTCTGGTAGACCATGCTGGAAGGAATTTTTGGAATCTGTAATTTGTAAATCACTTCTAACAAAACAGAACCATGTCTTTATGCGCGGCAATTTTTGCATTTTTTGAAACTTTCATTCCCCATAATATATCACACATTACTTTCTTACCAGCATTTGCACCATGATACAAAAATTAATTCTACTCTAACTTTTCAGCTTTTATATACAACACAGAATTGTTTGCTCCATTTTCTCTCTCAGCTACTTTGATATCTTGATTTTCACTCCTCAGTTTATCATGAGATGTAACATTCACTCAAAATAGTTCAATCTTCATATACAACACAGCTTCATGAAAATGCATGTGCATTTATGTCCTCAATTGACACATATCTACCATCACTACAATCATCTTATACTTTCATCCATAACTACAATAAAAAAATAAAGGAAATATCACATATTCTTATCTTACTCTCTGTTCAGCATTGAACCATTTCCAATACATTCAATTTAATTATCACACATACCGTACTTTCTTTCTACCATATAACATTTTTATTACATTCAGCATAGTCATGCAAAACATTCCAATTCAAAACTCTTTGCTTCTTTATATATTTCTTCTAAATTGACAAGTTTAGAATAAACTTTTTTCTCATATTCATACGTTATTTGGTAACCTGAAGAACAGAAATCTGGTTTACGTACTCTGCATAGCACAAAGTGCTGCACTTTTCAAATTTTGCTCACTGTTGCCTCTCATCTCTTGCAAGCATAATTTTGCCAACTTTCCCACTATACATAGCAAATCAATATAGTTTTGCATTCATTCTTGCTCCCTTCTCATGTATATAGGAAGACAATCCAGATACTCTAGAGACTACCTTGCAAGTCAATATAGTGTTGACTGCTTCCCAACTACAAGTATATGCAATATTCAAATGTGCATTCAGGATTCAAGAAACAGGAATCTGGGATACGCAAGGGATTTTTTTTTTCCTCTTGAATGTGAAAATGCAACAGATTAATAAATCTTGTTTCACATGCATGCCAGTTATATATTCTCTTTGAGTACTAACTTGAACTTTCAAATTAACATTTTCAAACAGACCAGAGCATTTTCCCTAGTCACTCTTGCCTGTCCAGGAGTGTCCACATTGTCCAAATGGAGGGTGAAACAGAATAAGTGAAAATGTACCCCTTTTTTACATGACTAACATGCATTGCACACACAAAATGAGACAGGGCTTCATTCACACACTTGTGCCCCCACTTTCGACATTGTTCATCTCATCTCAGGATGTCTCTGCTATCCAGGCTTTTCTTCCTTGAGGCTCTAATTTCTAAGCCATTTTTGTCTGCATGGTCCTCAGTAATCTAAAAAACTCAAATTCTCTAAAAAAAAAAAATCCAAGCAAAGGAATTAATGCAAGAAAAGTATACCATCTGCTTAAGGTCTTCTTTCATTTCTGTCTAGGATGTTGATGTTGTATTTCCCTCCTTTGAAAAATAAATGCAGTGCTGAAGTTTTCCTTTATATTGCTATTTTGTATTTGTAATCATCTTTTTCATTATCCCCCACACACACACACACACACACTTTCGTAGAGGAGACACAGTTTGTAAGAATATGTTTTTAAAAGTGAAAATAACAAACCGAATCTGTAAAAATCCTAGACAAGAAGATGACTTACACAATAAGGAAAGTCATCTTCCTTTGTGGCCAATTAATTGCCCACATTACTTATGTTGGTGTGAAAACAAGTAAACAAATGGTGACCTATTAAAGCTGTGCACAGTTTAATGGCATATTGCATTTAGTTATCATCAAGTGACATTTATGAGAGTAATTGGCTGGTATAAGAATGTGGTTAATGAATACATAACAAAAAATGCTGCCAACAGAAGTTCTTCCATTGTTTTCAAATTTAGCTTCACACGCGTCATATTTCAGTAATCTAGACAAGAGTTTATGGCTGCCACTGAAATTTGTAAAAAATGAATCAAGAGTTATACTATTACCAATTATCTTTCAAAGGTTTATGTAACAGACATTTCAGGTTGTGCCTTAACTTTTCTACCACATTAGCAGTGCAATTTATTTTTTGTTTTTCTTTTGGCCAGGAGGTGACATAAAGCTCTTCTCCCAGGCCAAGAACTCTACGCTTTTAGTTTTACTTGCTAAATGTTTTTTACATTCATTTCACAAATGGATTTTCATACATGAAGTGAACAAGGAACCCATGTAGCAATTGTGTGCCATGCTAAGATGAAATGGCAATGGCACACAATGTGTCTTGCTCAGCAAAGATAACCTAATCCCACCGGAAAAGAGAGCACATTGGTGCTTTTATTAAGGGCTTCTAATTAGTGCAGGTGTTTGGCAGGGTATTAGCGACAGACCATCAAAACTACATGTTGACTGTAGGAAGTAAATGAACTAAGGGAATCAAAAGATTTGTCCAGGAGAAAGTAGGCCCTTGGAAAAATGATTTGCCTACATACTCTGCTAATATTTCAGTAGCTATTGTTCCAGGTTACTGAAAGAAACTGTTGCTGCAGCACATCAAAACTGAAAATAATACTAAAATGTATGTGTATCTAGAAAACATTTGCATTTATATGAACTGAAGTACTGAAGTTTTCAGATACTGGAGGGAATCATGAGATTCAAACTTGTCCTGTGTAGAATTTTCTCATTGTTATCTGCTATGAATGGTTAAAATACACACACAGCTCAACAACTATAGGGAAGACTTACTAATTTAAGACCCCAGCATTACCACAAATTAGAATATACATTTTTCAAGTATGTTCTGGAATATTTTTGACTTGCTATATATGGGAAGAGTTCAATGTATGTTCATTAGTAGATTCAAAAGAATTTTATACTGACTTTCTGAGGACCATTAACAAGTAGAACTGAACACTGCAAGCAAATTCCAGGATGTGAAGAAAATTCTGATTTAAATGGAATAATAAATGCATGATTTTAGATCTCATCATGAGGAAAATGGTCTTCTCTCTCTTAACTTTATTCTTCTAAACTTTTGTTTTTCTTAGGCAGACAGCATCTAGTGCAATGACAAATGTTGCTGTGCCCAGTACAAAGAAACCCTAATTTTAAAAAACCATATTGATATAAATAGCAAAGTGATTAATTCTTTAAGTTCTATTCATTCCACACATTTCACCCAGATGGCTAGTTTGGGGTCATTTTATATGTAGAATCTCTGCTTCTTATCTCTTTTTAGCAGCTAATCTCAAACTATTTGCCTCTTTACTAGTCTAAAATCCATTCCAGAACCTTATGCTTTCCGACATTTTACTTTTCCAGAAACAATTCCCACGAGGGCCCCTAAAATGCCTTAGGACAAAAGTGAAGTCCCCTGAGCTGAAGCTTGTTTAGAATACCTGGCTTTTACAGTGAAACAGCCTGCCTTTTCATTAGCAAAAGACCATTCTTTAACAGACTGAGGTGAAAGGACAGGACAAAATGCCCCATGCTTGGCTCAAAGCAGAATCACAATACTGTATGCAGCTCAGGCTACAATAATGCAAGGGAGGGGGGAACCAAGAACAATTATCCAGAAAGGTGATTGGCTTCCTTAGCTGGGTATGATCAAGCTGAGCCTGGCTAGACATTTGTTCTGGTTTTCCTTGAATTCCAGCCCTGAGCAGGAGGACTTACTCAGTGGCCTAAGTAGGTTTTTCCAATTGTATTTTAAGATGTTATACTCAGGTAAAATGTCTTCAATATCCACCTTAAGGATAAATCCTTCCCTGATTTGTCATTTTTAGTCAAAGTTTGTATCTCCCGAGTTAGTATACACAGGCAATTCTTATGGGTAATGACTGTATCCACAAGATATCTGAAATCATATGGACATCGACATAAGGCAATACTTTAGTAACAGCATTTTATAATCTAGAAACTCCCAATTGCTATATAAGAAACACTTTAAGATTACCATATCTCAAAAACCTCCTGGAGATGTCCATTTTATAGCCTCTATTAGGAATAGAAAACAGTCTTATTTGCTTTTAATAAGGCTGGAAGAATCTCTGGGCAGTCTCACTTTACCATATCCCCAACCTCCTCCTACTTTCTGTGCCTTTCTAACATTCTCCACTGTCTCAGTTCTCTATGATCTCTTTCCATATTTCAATTATTTTCTCTTATTTTCCATCTTCTCTTTCATTTAGGGGACAAAATGAAACGACGTGCTCCTGTAAGCCTCTTTAAGCTCTCAAAGAATGGCAAAATGTCAACCAACAGTCTATCTAAAATGTTTTCTTTCAGGAAGTTCAAAACCAGTATTTTAAATTATTCTCAGTTTCCCCCCCCCCCCTCTCTCTTTTTCTCTCTCTGTCTGTCTCTCTATCTGTGTGTGTGTGATACAGAGAAAGAGAGAGACAGAGACAAAGAGAGACAGAGAGATAGACACAGAGAGAGAGAGATCTTACTTTTCCTCTGACATCTTCATCTCTTCCT